GCTTCCCCCCCCCCTAACGTTGCCCCCTCGCCCTCCTCTGGGCTGCTCCCCCCTTCCCCTCCTGCCCTCTCCCCTTCCCTCCCGTCGCTCCAGCAGACCCTCCTCGGCGGGCAGATACACCCACTCGCTCTTCCTCCACGTGTCCATCGTCCCTCCATTCCCGTATCCTCCTCCACTTTTTTATCTCATGCGTTGTTCCTCTTTCCTTCTTCTCCTCCTCCTCCTCTGTCCTGATCCTGTGCCCTCCTCCTTATCTCGTCCGTCTCCACCTATTCCCAGTTTCTCATCGCCCTGTTCCTCCTCCGCCTCTCCTCTTCTTTTCTCCCTCTCTCCCGCCCCCAGCATGAACAGGACGACGACGACGCCACCCCTCTCGGAACCTTCGCAATCTCCGATACGCTCTCGAGTGCTTTCGAATGCCTCCGAGCCCCCGCCATCATCGTCGTCGTCGCCGCCGCCGCCAGTGCCGTCGTCGTCGTCGTCGTCGGCGGCGGCGGCGGCGGCGTCGGCGTCGGCGTCGGCGTCGGCGTCGGCGTCGGCGTCGTTGTCGTCGCTGTCGGCGTCGTCGTCGTCGCCGTCGTCGCCGTTGGCGTCGTCGCCGTCGTCGTCGTCGCCGTCGTCGCCGTCGTCTGCGTCCTCGCCGTCGTCGACGGCGGCGGCGTCGTCGTCTGCGTCCTCGCTTTCGGCGGCGTCGTCGTCGTCGGCCGAGCCGGCTGACGCCACCCGGCAGGTCCTCGACGTGCTGCCCCTGCGGTCCCTGCGGGGCGCCTCCAGGCCGGGGTCGGCAGCGCCCCGGCCCGTGGTCCTCCCCTGGCCGCTCGGCCGGGGGAAGCCTCGATTGCAGTCGGGGCGCTGAGCAAGGAGCCCTTTTCGTCGGGCAGGGGCTCCGTGTTCCTTGGTTGTTTCGCAGCTTGCCTTAGGTTGTCCTTAGGTCTTCGATGGGGAGTCGAAGCTTCACTTATGGAAAGAAGGGGCCTCGTTCCTCATCTAGGGTTCCTTGGTTCAACGCCCCGACTGTGCACGTGCACGTCGGTCGTTGAAAGCAAGTTTTGGTGGACTGCTAGATCCCAATGTACTTCAATAATCCGAAGAAGAAACGGCCATACACATAAACTGTTGGCGCTCCGCGCGGACATCATGGATCCGCGCTGGGCCCCCCAGCGGCGCCTCCAGCGCCGCGGGGCTCCAGCGCAAATGCAAGAACACCGCGCGGAGCGCCAAACATTGATGGTTGTTGCGTGGGTGCTTCTTCTAGGATTCCCTGCTCCCAATCTGCTTCAAGAGTGGATCTACTTTTGTGCATTGTGTTCTTCTCTGGGAGGGCCTGGCTACTCAATCCGCCTTCCCTCTTCATGTTTTTGCCTACTTCCGACCGGCGTGTAAGAGTCAGCCGTCGTTGGAGTGACCTTTGGTGCGGGCCCGCTGCGGCTCCCAGATCGCTGAATGTGATGCGATAGCAGCGGCCTGCGCGTTTCGGTTCAGCCCCTCGCGCCCCCCAAAGCCACAGGTCACTCTTGCTTAGGGTCACTCTTGCGTGTATAGAGCCGACAGGGCTCAGGGAGATCATCTAGGCCTCCCAGGTGGGGTCAGAGCAAATGGGGTGTGAGCATCGCGCCGCATCGCCGACACATCGACGAGGCGACTCGATGTGGAACCAGATTGTTTCCACGCCGACGTCCCCGATGCATCGCTGACGTCGCCGATGCATCGCCGATGCATCGGTGATGCATCGGCGATGCGGCGTGATCCTCCGACCCCATCTACTCTGACCCTATCTGGTAGGCCTCTAGATCAGGACGGGAGGGGACGAGGAGGAGACTGAAGACCGACAGCAGTCCTTGGCCATTCCTAACGCGAAGAACATACATTCTGCACAAATGTAATTGTCGGCGATGGGCTCCCATGGTGGCGCCTCCGGCGCTGAGCGCTGCCCCAGGTGCGCTCCGCACGCCAAGAAGGGGGACTAGCGCAGATCCAAGAAGTCTGCGCGGAGCCCAGAAAAATTACGTTTACTCCCCAGACATTGCTTGCGCTTGGGGGCCCTGATTTCTCTTCCAAGGGACTGGGCCTGATTGCCGGTCTGGCGGCTATGTTGTCGCCGTCGACGCTCCGTCGCCGCCTCGCCGCCTCCCGTCATCTGGGCCTAATTGTTGGTTTGGCGGCCATGTCGTCGCCGTCGCCCCCGTAGCCGCCCGTCGTCTGGGTATGATTGTCTGTCTGCCGGCTATGTTGTCGCCATTGCCGCCTCGGCGCGGCCTCTCACAATTGCACCACATAGACTGCACCACACAGATAACACCACATACATTCTTCCTTCTAAAAAGGAATGTCAATCTACCCCTCCCCCCTCAACCGGTTTCTTCCGTCCGCCGTGGGGATGCGCATTTTACATACGGTTTTGCCACATCGTTCATCCGAAATACGAATACATTCAATCCCCGCCAGGCTGGGATCGACCCCCCTCACAACAGGTTGATCACATGCGATTCGCTTGGCTTTTCGCGTGCGCGTGTCAAAATCAGTTGAACGTCCTTGCGCGCTTGCTGGGGGTGCACGGCCCTTGTCAAAAAATACTATGCGGGCCACTCGCGCGCGTCGGCGGCGCGCGCATGTCGAAGCTCTCTCAAAACCTTCATCACCGACACGTAGGACGCCATCATCGTCACCGACGTGATTCGCATCGGCGCCGTCATTGACTTTGCCGTGTCGCTGTCGGCGTCGTCGCCAGCATCTCTACTATCATCATCGTGTCTGCCGTTGTCGACGTCGCCATGATATTGTGCCCGCCCGACTCACCGACTCGCGCTGACGTGCCCGCGCGTCAACGCGGCTTGCGAGACGCGTTGGGAAGTCCCCAGCGGTCAGTCCCACCGCGGCCGCGGTGGTCGCGCTAGAGTACAGTGGGTGCCCATGCCAAGAAACACCCTGCCTGCCTCCAGGCTGCCCTGGTTTTGGGCGTTTCGATGGTTTTCGATGGAAAGCGTGACGTTCCCACGCCAAAAAATTTGGATTTCTGGGAACTGAGAGTTGGGTTTCTTGTGGGGGGTATCTTGTGGACTGGCCTCCGCTGTAGCTGGCCGCTCTGCGCGCGAGCCTGCGCGCGCTAGCACGGCCAGGCGCTAGCGCGCGGGCGCTGCTGGAGGCCCCGCGGGCGATTTCGAAAGCTCTTGGAGGAACCCTGGGCTGTCGGAGACCCAGAGTTCGAAATTGCCAGAATTCAACACGAGGGAAGTCCATGAATTTCGCCTCTCGCGGCCCTCTGAATCACCGCCCACCAAACCACCACAACCCAATCCGAAGGCCCCGATTAGCGTTCCATTTTCACCGGAGGGAGGGGAGGGGGGGGGCGGGGAACATTGGAAAAAACACATCTGAAGCCCGTACCCCCCCCAACCCGAAATTCGGGTCTTCGGGTTGGGTTGTGGTGGTCTGGTAGGTAGTCACTTAAGGAGGTCTCCTGGGGTCCTCTTCGGAGCCTAACAGGTCGTGCTGCGGCCATATGTGGGCTTCTGGGCAGCCGTCTTTGGGCGCCCTTGACCAGTTTGGGGTTCGTTGCAAGCCTTCTTGGGCTGTCCGCGGCGTCAATTCGCGCGGGCACCTATCCAGGGAGGCCCGGGAACCGTCCGGAAGGCAACCCGGGGCGGGGTGGGGTGGGAAAAACGTGTCTTGGGATTTAGTTGTCTGTGCGTGCGTGTGTGGGCCATCATTTTTTCACGCGGTATGAGTATGTGTGTATTTGTATATAGTGAAAATGGGTGCATGTATAGACGCCAATCGGAAGTTGGGGAAAGCGTAGTGAAACGGAGTCGCCCCACCGGGGATTCGATGTCGGTTTCGGTTCGTGCTGTGCGTGACGTGAATGCGGACAAAGCGATCTTGCGAGTTCTGCCGTAGCAGAGGCCGAATTAGGCCGAAATGAGTCACCCCAGCCTGGCCGGTCGATACCATAGTTGTCCCGACGATTGTGCCGATGGTTGTCCCGATGGTTGTCCCGACGGTTGTCCTGATGGTTTTCCCGATGGATGTTTCGATGGTTGTCCCAACGGTTGTTCCGACGGTCGTCTCGTTGTCCCGGTGGTTGTTCTGATGGTTGTCCGTTTGGTTATCACGTTGCTTGTTTCGACAGGTGTCCCGACGGTTGTCCCGAGGGTTGTCCCGATGGTTGTCCCGCTGGTTGTCTCGACGATTGTCTCGACGATTGTCCCGATGGTTTTCCCCGATGTTTCTCGATGGTTGTCCCAATAGGTGTCCCGATAGTTGTCCCGAGTGTTGTCCCGATGGTTCCCCCGATGGCTTGGCGAGACCATCATGCAGAAACTGCAGTCTGCGAGGCCATAGTTGTAGAATCGCTTTCATATTCCATAATTCTAAACACTTGTGTCCGCGCGGCAAACATCCAAAACGTTGGCTGCGGAGCAAGCAGATGCTTACTAAATAGGTTTGCTGCAGCGAGATGTGGGAATTTCCGGACACAGTGCGATCTGGATGAATGCTTGGATACACGCACAGATGTAGTGATAACCGTGTATCTAGAGTGACATATCGACCAGTTGCCCCGATGGTTGTCCCGATGGTTGCCCGTGCGATCGAGAGATTGATATATAGAGGCGAGCGAATCGTGAGACCAATCGTTCGGTGATCGTTATACATCGTGGGGTATATATGTATAGATACACAGTCCCTCCAAGCACCACCTCTTGGCAGCATTCACTTACGACAGTGATGCTCTTCCTCTCCTCCTCATTATCGTTGCTTGTTGCCCTCATTCTCTCTCTCTCGTTCTCCCTCCTCCTCTCTCTCTCCCTCTGTTCCATTTCTCTCTCTCTCTCTCTCTCTCTTTTATTCTCTCTCTCTCACTCTTTCCTCTTTCTCGTTCGTCGGTTTCCCAAGGCGTCAGCTCCGACCACTGGTTCCCAAACATCCAGATGACAGCGCAATGAGAACGAATTATTTGCGATTGCAATGAGAACGCTTTTTGAAATGGAGCCGGCCCCAGGCCAAGCTGATTAAAGCTGTATCCCCAGTAGAGTTCAATTGGAATGGGGGAGATCCCAGATCCAGTTGATTCGAGTTCGATTATTACAGGAAGCGAAGTTGAATCGAGTTGGCATGGAGCAGATCCCAGATCCAGTTGGTTCCGAGTGGATTGCGACTAGGATCCAATTATAAGCTATTTGGTAGTGAATCACATCCCAGATCCAGTTGAGTCCCGCTGGATTCCCACTGTAAAGTTACTATGCTCTCATTTGATTTGAGCAGATCACAGATCGTGATGATGCCAATTATGTTTCTATTGAAGTCTAATGCGGATCGAATAGTAGATCCCAGATCCAGCTGATTCCAAGTTGAGTCCTATAATAATCGAACACGAAACTTTCTATCGGAATGGAGCAGATCCTGCGTACCACTGGTTTAACTTGGATTCCTGCTGGAATCGAGTTAACATCTCATTCGAATTGGGCAGATCCCAGATCGAGCTTATTCGAATTGGATTCCGATTTGAAATTCACGGATGATCTCAGTGGAACGAAGCAGATCCTGACTCCAGTTAGCACCAGTGAGATTCCAATTGGGATCGAATTAGAACCTACGTGGAATAGGGCACATCCCAGAGTCAGCTTTGTCAAATTAGATTCCCATTGGAGTCCATTCAAATGCAATCTACATGGAGCAGATCCCATCATCAGCTGATTCCGTTGAGGCTCCAGCCAGAGAAAACAGCGGAGAAATGACGAGTATGAAATATTGATGATCAGGCACGAGTGGAAAGACGGTAGACGACCAGTATGAGCATCAACACAGAGTCGAACGACCGATACACATTGAGTGGGTGACGGGGGTGGCTGCGCTGGACTGCCCCCCCCAGCTCCCATTCGTGTGTATTTGTGCATCTATGTATGCATGCGTACAGGTATGTTTGTATAGTTCGATTGGGGCATGGTGGCAGACTGTCACACACACACACACACACGCACATACACACCTACATCTGTATACATCAGCGCGAGGAGGCCGAACGGTCGCTCACTGTCCCTGGGTGCGTGGCTGATTGGATTCCGCGGTGCGAATTTTTAGTGTTGCTGTTGATGAGTTCTCATTTCAACACAGTAATTATTGTCAAGCCCCCTCCCTGGTAACCTGTGCATTTTTCAATTGAAGTGCTTCTCCCGAGGCTAGCACCCTGTTTGTTTACAATGGCAAGCGAAGTGTCACCAAACTATGTTGTTGGGCCTGAGCTACAACAACAACAGCTCCCGCCTGATGCTTCCTCACAGGTGATTCCCACATTGCGCTCTCGTCTCACAGTTCATGCAGGAATCGCGCTCTCGCGTTGGACTTACCCGCATTATATTCAGACGCTGCGCCCTCGACACTCAGGAGTTACGCTCTCCATTTGAGCTTCCTTACGATTTACTTGGAAATCGCGCTATCGCTCGAGAATTCTTCACGATTCATGCAGGACGCACGCTTCAGCAACCCGCCTGCTCGACCGGGCCGCCTGGGACCGCCTTCCCGACCTGCCTGTCAGGGTCTACCCGCCCGATCTGCCCGTCTGGTTTTGCCACGTGTTTTCTGTTCCTGGCCCCCTTCCTGCTACTCTCTCTCTCTCTCTCTCGTGCTCCATCCTTCTCCCTCCCGCTTGTCCCTTCCATCCGTCATTTCTTCCCCTGCCTGTTGGGCTGCACGAAATACACGTTGCTGGTAAGAAAGACATGCCCACAGGGACGTACGATCGTGGACGAAAAGGGCGGGTGCCGATGGTTTGGGATATATGTGTTGGGTGGCCCGCGAGCAGAAACGAGCGAACAGTCTTCAAGTGAATATTCATGGTGTTGTTCTTGGTGTTTTTGTTGGTGTTGCTGATGGCGTTGTTGTCGTTGTGCTGTTGTGCTTGATGTTGTTGCTGTTGCTGTTGCTGTTGCTGTTTTTGCAGTTGCTGTCGCTGTCGCTGTCGTTGCTGTTCATGTTGTTGTTGTTGTTGTTGTTGTTGTTGTCCTTTGTTGTCGTCGGCTCAGTCGCGACTGGGCACTCGACCCACCCACGACTCGCCCGCGACCCGCCCGCGAACCACTCGACCCACCCGCGACCCACCCGCGACCACCCACCGCGCGACCGACCCGCGACCCATCCGCGACCCACCCCCCGCCCGCCCTCTCACTATTATCCGCAGGTGTGGGGTGCTTATATGTGTATACATATGTATATGTGCATGTTTGTGCATACGCATGGTCAATTATGTGTGTGGGCGGCAGCCATCAATATACCGACCGAAGGGTGTTCACCTTTTTCATCCAGATGTGCGTCCATTTGGGAGCTGAGTTGCGTATCCAACGGGAACTAAGTATGCCCCCCATTCGTACAACCACTCCACATCACCTGAAGTGTGGTAGATGAGGTAAGGGAACCGGATAAGCCGGGGCGCCGCAGCGCACGGCGTGGGGAAAGGGAGGGGGTGGGAGGGTTAGAGGAAAGCGCCCGGGGGAAGTGTGATGGAGATGGCTGTGGCAGGGGAGAGGAGCAGCAGCAGCAGGAGGAGGAGGAGGAGGCGGATGACGAGTTGGATAAGAATGGAGGAAGGATGGGCAAATGGAGTCGGAAGAGGCAGAGGCGAATGCGACAGCGGAGGGGGGGGGTGAGGCGGGGAGAAGGAGGGGGACAAGCAGTTAGAAGGGATGGGGATGAGCGGGCAGGCTGGGGAGACGCAGGAAAGTACGGAAAGCAGAATAGGGGAGACGCAGGCTGGAAAGACGCAGGCTGGGGAGACGCAGGCTGGAAAGACGCAGTGACGCGGGGCAGGCAGCGGAAGGGGTGATGGAAATACGGAAGGCAGAATCGGAGAAAGTGTTGATAGATAGTCGGAAGAAATGGGGGGGGGTTGGTTGACGGGTTCATCTGTGACCGAGGAGAGGGGCTCGGGGGGGGGGCGCGTGCGGATGTGCGCGACCTATGTGACTCCGCCCGTGCTGGGCCCAGGCAGGGCTTACCGATCATGCTGACCGCCCCGCGCCTCATGGACTTTGAGGCCTTTGCGGCGGTGAGGAAGCCCCGCCTGGACGGCTTCCTGAAGGCCTCCTGGGGCCCCTGCGACGCGCTGCCAAGGCACATGCCTGTGCTCATCAGCTGGCGCGGGGTCCATGGCCAGGGCGAAGCGTCGGGGAATCGTCGGGGGCGGAAAAGAGGGGGGTGATGACTAGGGGGGGTGGATATCATGGCGGGGGCCATGAGATCTCCCCAGATCTCAAGGCGCCTCTTCTCATTTTATTACGTTCCCGGCCCCCTCCGCTGGGCCGCGCACATGCCGCTGGTCATGATTTGCACCCCCCCCTCTTGGACACCCCCCTCTTGGCCGCTCCCGACATCGCGAAGATTCGAGCTCCCAGGAGCTCAAGTTTGCCCACGCTCTTTGACGGGCCCGCCCTGGCTTTCGTCCGTCCAGTTGCCGTGGGATGCAGCGGGCGTTCGAGCCAATTTTCAGATTTGGGTTTCATCATCTTCTTGGCGGCGCCATCGGGCCAACCCGAGTCCCCCAAACCCGAGTCTCACGTCTCCCCGAAGGTGGACGGGAGTGATGGGCATGTTTTCCGCCACCACTAACATAAGTTGGAGAGGGGGGAGGAGGAAGAGGACGAGGAGGAGGAGGAGGAGGATGAGGAGGAGGAGGACCCCCTCCCCCTCCAACTTATGGTGGTGGCGGTGGAAAACAAGCCCAGCAGGGAGACACCGCAGCTCCGCGCACGCTGCACGGGCGAGCTCGCGTCCGGAGGGTCAGCAAGCGCCGGGAAGGCACCGTGCTCGCCCTTCGCATGGTGTCCGCCTCCGTGTGTCGTCCGAGTTGACGTGGCGTGATGCGCGCGTTGCTCGTCTGGTTTTCTCGGCGCGCTCCGGTGTGCGTCTCCCTCGCCCTCGTACTCCGGAGGAGGAGAAGGTACCCAGACCTCTAGCCTCCCCTCGTTTTCCCCTCTTTGGGCCTCCTGGGTAGCCCTCGTCGCCACCGCTGGATTCGCCGCGAAGTTCTGGTGAGAACGCACCCCGGGAGAGGTCTGGGGAGTAGCGGTATGGGTATCTCTTGGTCTCCCCAGTGAATCTCCCTCGCCCTCATACTGATCCTCCTTCTCATGTTCATGCGGCTTCTCTTGCACGGCACCTGCCGCCCTGAACGTGTGGCATCGGCGGCCGTCAGCGGCACATGGGCCGCTCCTTCCCCTCGTGTGTGCTGCCCGCGCGCCGGATGAGCCAGCCTTCCCCTGTACGCTGGGGGAGGGAGGAGGAGGAGGGAGGAAGAGCAGGCTCGGCAGGGGTTTACGAGGAGGCGGACTCGGGCGGCTCGCACTCGTTTTTGCGGTTCGCCGAGTTGGCGCAGGGGTCTTCTGGGATCCAGCTCGCACAGCAGAGCCCCCGCAAGGTTGGGCAGCAAGGCGGCATCGCGGCATCGGCGCATTCGCACCCCCGTAATTTCTCGGGGGGAAGGGGAAGCGGCACCTACCCCACCAGGGGGCCACCTCCAGCGAGGAGGTCCACGATGCCCCCTCGAGCTGGGGAAAAGGATTGTCTCGAGCGAGCAGGAGGGGGGGGGGGGGAACATACTACCAGGGGGTGTCCCCCCCTGGCTCCTCCCGCTGTAGGTCCTTGGTGGTGTTGGTGTCGCTTTTCCGTGTTCTTACAATGGAGGCCAATGCCAAGAAACATCTTGCTTGCCTCCAGGGTGCCTTGGGTTTCTTGGGTTTCGATGGTTCTGCTGTGCAAGGCGTCATGTTCCCACTAAACATCCATGGACGTCCTGGGGTCTCAGGGTGGAGCCACCAAACATCCATGGCCCTTGTGGAAGGTTTCTTGTGGTCGGGCCTCCACTGTACTCCCACTCGCATCCCTCCCTCCCCCTGGCCGTGCCCCCCCCCCACCTCCCCTTCCTCCGCCTCCTCCTCCTCGTCCTCCTCCTCCTCCTCCTCCTCCTCCTCCTCCTCCTCCTCCTCCTCCTCCTCTCCCTCTCCCCCTCCCCCTC